CCCCTGGGCCCCCCCCCCCGCCTCGCCCCCGCTGGTCGCCGCGCCTCTCCGCAAGCCGGGCGGCCCTGAGGGCGCGCCGGGCGGCGGTGGAGCGGGGCGGGCGGCCGCTGGAGCGAGGGCCCGTGTGGGACGCTGCGAGGCGGCGCGCTTCTCCCCGGCGGCCTGCGGGCTTCCTACACGGCGGCGAGCTTGTTCCCTGAGGAGAAATGGGCTCCTCGGGTTATCCCGGAGAGGGGAGGAGCACGCCGCTGCGTGGGGAAGGGCGGGTTTTGTTTCTAGCTCTGTCTTCCAGTTGTGGGATGGGACCGGGAAACATTTAAGATGGTGGCTTCTTGGGGCAGAGCCTTATCCGGACGGAGTTTGGGTGTGTGATGCCCTCTGGCATGGGTAGTACCTTCTGTATGTTACATGTATGTTTTCGGCTTCCCCAGGTTTAGAAGGGGGAGTTTGTTTATCTCCGGACGCCCCGTGGATTGAGGCTGTGTGGTAGCGGGCGGAAGAGTGACAGGAGCCGGGTCACGGATGGGTTGTGCTGAGTTTGACACCTGGGTTTTGTGCTGCAGGCGGCTGTGGGAAGGTATCGCAGGCCTGCGGCGATAAGGGCACGACACGTTCCCTGTCCGTTTTCCATCAGGCTGTCTCTCTTTGTATTGTCTCCAGTGGGAATAAATCCTGTTTGTCTCTCTCCTGTTCTTTGCACTTTATCAAGCGATAGTCATGTAAGTCTGATGCTGTTCTTGTGTATCTTTGCTAATCGTGGGCTTCTGAAGAACAATAAAGAAAATGTGTAGGATGTTGCTAACTTCAACAGCAGTAAGGTGAGGCCATAAGGCTTATGTTACCTATATACAGGCTTGAGATATTGTCCCAGTTTACAGCTCCTTATGCAATTTCAAAGATAACTTATGTTAGAGCTAACATAGGTTCCAATTTCTGCCAGTCTTTCTCCTAACCACTGGAAGTTGAAGTAATCATGCCAGACAGTAGTAATACAAAGGAAACATCAATACACAAGCTTTGACTTTTTTTTTGGTGTTTAAGTCTGTTTCTCACTGGTTGCACACTGAGTTTAACTACCATGTAAGCTGAACATAGAAAATGATCACGTATTCTTTCTGCTTTTCCAATTAATGAGATGTTTTTGCTGGCAGGTTTTGAAGATGAAGCAATATGTAAATAGCATAGAGGTGTTTTCTTTTTTCCCCAGTGAAAGGAGAAACTTAAGAGGAAGCTAACTGAAATGGCCTCAAAATACAGTACAATACTCTGTAGGGTATTTTTAAAGAAACAATATAATTAAGTCCCCGATTCTGTCTGTTCTTTTTTGTGCATTAAATCTATACGTGACTGCTACCATTGCATTCATTCATAAATGAATTGTGAAGGAGAGAAAGTTAAGTGTATGTGGAATTAAAAACAATATTAAAAATCCATTTCTTTATAGAAAGTTAAATTGCATACCTGGATTCTCACTGTTAAGCAGTTCCTCTTATAAGTGGTTTCATCAAAGCACTATTTAAGTGAGTAAAGGTCTCCCGATATTAGCAAGGAACTGACAATATGACCTGGAATGATAGATGAACAATATGCTATAGAAGTAATATGTAGTTCTTTAACTTGATAAATATTATGGGCAAAATAATCATTGCAGGTTGTACAGCTAGCTATAAACATATGCCGTCATACTTTGCATACTTAAGAAAATAAATTAAGCCTTGTCAGGGAATTTTGAACAAATTCAAGGATAGGAA